AACTTTGATCCCAACAGATAGACCCTCCAGGTGAGTAGGCAATGCACCACTGCCGTCATTTCCTTCTCATGGGCTGAATAATTCTTCTCAGCAGCGTTTAGTTTCCTGCTTTCAAAGGCCACCGGGTGTCCTTCCTGCACCAGTACTCCTCCAAGTGCTTTGTCTGAGGCATCCATGTGTACTTCGAAAGGCAACTCGAAACTAGGCAGTCGCAAAACCGGTTCACTTGCCACTGCACTTTTCAGTTTGTCAAAGGCCTCTTCGCAATTAATGGACCAATGCCATTTGTGATCTTTCTTCAGCAAATCAATGAGGGGAGCAGCCTTCTTTGAATATCCCTCAATGAATTTCCGATAGTAGTTTGCCAAGCCTAAGAAGGATCGCAACTCCGCAATATTTGTGGGTGGAGACTGTTAAAATTATAGTATTATTGATTGATATATTGATGTTGTGTATATTACAAGGATTTATATAGGAGAGGATTTGGGAGTAGGTGAAGATGGTAATGGAGGTGGTAGGTGGAGTGTAGTAGGTGAGGGTGAATTGGTGGTAGGTGTAGTGGGTGTGGTAGTAGGTGGTGGTAGGTGTAGGTAAATTCTAACAGCCCCCCGCAAACTCAAGGAGGATAGAAACCAACCAACTTGAGTTTGAAGAGAGGAACAAAATAATAAAATACATAAAAATAAAAAAGGATAGGAGACACTGTATGGTCGTGTCAGACCGTTGGTGAAGACACTGTATGGGGTGTCATAACGTTGTAGAGGACACTGTATGGTGGTGTCAGACCGATGTAGAAGACAGTTTATGGGGTCATGTCGGACCGTGGTAGCCTTGGCTATATAACCAAGACGAAGGCAGAGGCTGAGGCAGAGAAAAACTGAGAGAAACCTCTGAAAAATCCTTCGTGTTGCTGAGAAAGAGAGTTCCTTGTGCTGAGAGAGATTTCTGAGAGAGATTCTGTATAACACTCTGTTGCCTAGAAAATGGCTTCCTCGTCTTCCCGCGGGCTGCTCACCCTCTTTCCCGACCTCAACGAGTCAACAGAGACCATTCCATAATAGCTTGTACCTTCCTTCCATCCATTTTGACATGGCCTTGGCAAATGATATGCCCAAGAAACTTAATATCCCGCTGGGCAAACTCACATTTTTCCTTCTTGACATACAATTGATGTTCTCGTAACCGAGTGAACACCATCCGAAGATGGGACAAGTGATCCTCTAGGGACTCACTATATATTACAATATCATCCAAATAAACAACAACAAACTGATGACATAATCATTGAACATATCATTCATAAGATTACAGAATGTAACCGGGGCATTAGTTAACCCAAACGGCATTACTAGGAACTCAAAAGACCCATATCTCATAACACATGTGGTCTTTGACTCATCTCCTTCAGCCACTCGGACTTGCCAATAGCCAGCACGTAAATCTAATTTTGTGAAGTAAGTGGCTTTGCACAATCGATCAAATAGGTCTGCCACCAAAGGGACTGCATACTTGTTCTTTATCGTCACTTTGTTGAGAGCCCGATAATCCACACACATGCGCAAACTTCCATCTTGCTTCTTTTAAAAAAGCACTGGGGCACCGTAAGGGGCTTTGGATGGCTGAACCAGTCCAGCATCCAATAAGTCCGTCAATTGCCTTCGCAACTCCGTAAGTTCCATTGGGGACGTTCTGTAGGGTGCCTTTGCTGGAGGCTTAACACCCGGAATCAACTCTATTTTATGATCAGTGGCACGCCGAGAAGGAAGGGACTTTGGCAACTTCGGAGGCATTACATCCTCAAATTCCCTCAACACTTCTGCCACTTTATCCAGCACTTCTACTGATAGATCAGGTTTGATTTCCACCAAGGCAACAAGATAAGTCTCTGCGCCCTTTTCAAACCGTTGTGCACTTGAATGGCTGAGAGGGTCTCCATCTTCCCCTTTGTGCACGTGCCTTTGTCTGATTTGCTGCAACCAGCGACAAAGCAAGGCTTGTCTTCATCCGAAATCAGTATCCCACCCAAATATGGCATCAAAGCCACTTTTGCAGTCACAAAGAAGTCATTTCCTAAGATGACATCGAAATCATCCAAAGGAACCACCATCAAGTTAACCCGTTCAGTCCAATCTCCAACTGTGATCGATACTTTGGAAGCCATTCCTTGCACCGATTAGGCCGCCGAGTTTACTGCCTTGATTCGACTGGCGCTTTGGGTAACTTGCAATCCGAGGGTCTGCACAACTTTTTCTAACAGAAAGTTATGCGTGGCACCGGTGTCTACCATTGCCTCAATGTCGGTACCCGCCAATGCCACCTTGATGTACATTAGACCAGTAGTAAGGGCTTTGTCCGCATGAATTGCATTGAGCAATTGTAAAGGGTTTACCCTAGTCGGCCCCTCAGAATCCGACTCCCCTTTGCCATCTTCCGCGACCATAGCGTTCAGTTTCTCACGCTTGGGACAGTCTTTCGCTCTATGGGGTCCATCACAGATGAAACACCCTTTGTTGGATTTCCCACCGTTGGTCTGAGAAGAATCCCCCTTCTGTTTGTACTTGGAACCCTCTTTCCCCTTCTTGAAACCAGACTTCTTCTCTCCCGTCTTCTCTTTTCCTTTTTTTTTGGATTTGCTGGTTTCAGTAGTGGATTCCTTGCTTAACTTGTAGTCAAGCAAACCATCTACCGCAGCCATGGCAGAGGGCAAATCTTTGACACCGAGTCTCCGAAGTTCCAACTGGGCCCAATTCTGCAACCCAAACATAAAGTTGAAGAGTTTATCTTCTTCCGACATGTTCTAGATTTCTTTCACATAATCCCTCACCGACCCGGAATGCTTCAACCGTTTCAGGGCGTCTCTTGCAACCCAAGATGTGTTGCAATGAAGGAATTGTTCCTTCATTTCCTTCTTAAGAGTCTTCCATGTTGAGATCTCTGGCCGAGCATCATCCCCGACACGTGTACGCCACCAAAGTTTAACATCACCAGTAAGATACATGCTTGTGATTGTAACCTTCTCCCCTTCTGGCACATGAGCAGCCTTGAAGTACTACTCCATGTCCCACAGAAAATTCTCAAGTTCCTTCGCACTCCGATTCCCACCAAAAGCTTTAGGGTCTGGAACTTTAATTTTCGAAGGAGTCTTTTCCGAATTCGTATGCCCACAGACAGCCTTCTTCAGAAGGGACAGTTCATCCACAACTTCTTGAAACTTGTCTTTCCAGGACTCCGAAATGGCTAGCACATCCGTCAGCATGTCTTTGAACCGATCTGCTGTTGAGGTCTCAAGGGCAAGAAACCCTGAGGCCACAGCATCCAATCGGTCTGTCAGCGAGCGGTTCTTATCAGCAGGGTCACCAACAAAATTTTCCAACCGCGTTACTCGTTCTTTTAAGGCATCCATGCCAGAAACCATTAGAGCATAACCGTGCTCTGATACCAATTGTTACAGGGTCAATTTTTGTTTCAAATTCCCAACCTGTAATGGCACTAAGTTGGACACTTAGTTTCAGCCAATTATGAATACACACACACAGAGTGTTATAACAAGTAAGAGAATAGGTAACAAGTGATTACAGGAAAAACTCTCAACCTTTATTAATTGCACCAACAATACAAAGGATGCCTATGGAAACTCTTACCAACACTTAGTTAATTTTCGAGTTCCATGGCTATGCCTAAATAGGCTTACAATCAGTTACAAACTTTACAACCAGCATCACAAGGAAAGCATGCCAAGTGGCATGGCAGTTGACACCCCCAACTGCCTAGGGACTTAGGATCATTTCTGGGACATAACTGCTAGTAACTGCTGCTAACTCCCTGCCTTGATTCCAGATGTCCAGACTTGCCTTGTCTTTGCTCAACATGGGTAACTGCTGCCAGACAAGCATAACTGCTTTGAAATGCCCATGTTGTTTGCCTTCTCAATCAGCCACGAATTTGGTTGTCTTGGCTCCAGACCGAGTTTTGCCTACTGAATGCTTTGAACCCCCAAGTATGCTGCAGCCCACATTCAGGTCATGTTAATGCCTTGCATTTGTGCCACTGCTGCCCATACTTTGGCCAAGGGTCTTGTGCTGCTGCCTCAGCACTTTGTCAATGTTTCACCTTGTTGTTTTGGCATGCCACCATCATGCCGTGGTCTTGGTTGGACATTGGTGTAAGGTGCTGCCAATGCCAACCATGCAGCCTTCAAGTAGAAGGTGCTAACACCTATCCACTTCAATTACTTGATTTTCAACGTCCATTCGGTGTCTCGATGACGAAATGCCAAAACCTAGACTGGGTTATTCCTAGTGAGTTGTTGTTGAACACTATTCAATCAGTAAACACCCGCAAAACAGATGAACACCTGTTGAAGTCACAAAACAACTTTTGATTCATGGCGAGACTTTTCTTTTCCCTTTATTGTTATTTTATGGTTCCACATTTTTTCCTCCCTCAATAATCATTCCCTCAATTCCCCTTCTTTTTTCTTTTTCTTTTTTTTTCCTTTTTTCTTTTTTTTTTTGGCAGGGGGAGGGGGGGTGATATCTTCTTCCCCTACTGCAATTGAAACCCTTTTTCCGCTTTTTTTTTTTTTGTGTTTGTGATTTTTCTGTGACCCATGCAACTTGACCGAAATTGACCGCAACTCGACTAAAACTAATATTTTTTTGTCCCTAACCTATTAACTTTGTTGTGCTTTATGTAAAATTATGAAAATACCCCTTCTTCAAGTAACTAATTTTGAACGGTGCTGATTCTAGGGACTAAGGCGTAACAAATCGCATACTTTGGAGACCAAAGTGAAACAATTAAAAGACTGAGGACTAAAGTGTAACAAAACACATACTTTAAGGATCATTTATGTAATTAATCCAAAAAGAAGAAGCAATATTATAACCATAGTAGATTTGTTTAAGTTATATGCTCAACCAATAATAACACATGCCATCATCAAAACAAATTAAGCACTTAAATAATATACATAGCAAATACAACTACATGAAGATTACTTGTGCGATGGAAGTGTGAAATCCAGCCCACTGCCAAAACCACGCCCCGGTGTATTGTTCCCCCAAACAGGCGTTCCAAACCCTGGAAGAAAACTTTTTTGCACTAGAGCAGCATTTTTTATTCCTGCAGGCCTCCAATCACCTCTACCGCGACCAGCAACAGTGCCCACATTGACTGGCGGACGAACTTGACCTAGGGCTCCTCCAGGGCTAACGGGAGCTGCTCCAGGCATTGGAGCTGCTCCAGGTCTCACATACTGCATGGTTCATAAAAAACGAAAAAGATTTGACGATAAAGCTAACACTTAACAAAGAGGACAAATAAATTAATTGACAAAGTCCTGCAATAACAATGGTTTAAACATCTTATGAACAAATTTAGCGGCTACGAGTATCAAACAAAATCAATTTCTAAGCATCCTCATGCATGAACATTCTAATTTCAAGACACCATGATTAGAATAGAGATCATTAAGTTATTTCAAGTTACATCCGAACATTCAAAATCTACTTAAAAGAAACTAAGGAAATGAAGATATTTACACAAAAATTCTATGAAAAGAAAAGCATTTGTGACAAAAGAGCAAAAATAAATGGGCAAACCAGGAGTGCAAACCATGATAAATTTTACACTCATTTCGCTATCATGTAAATCAGAAGTTTTACTAGAGCTTATAAGATGACAAAGGAAATTTCCAAAAGGCTTGCCTAGGTGACATGAAAATGAAATCATGATGAAATATCAACATCTAAGAGAGAGAGAGAGAGAGAGAGAGAGAGAGAGAGCAGAAAAAGGCAAAATCTATTGACTTAGCTAAAAATCAGATTTGGAAGTTGATTTGCTAAAGCTTTATCTGTTATCAGAATCTTACGATACACGATTCGATTCACGATTCAATTCGCAATTTTTGTAAAATCGATACGAATCTAAGGGTGAATTTATTTTGGAAGTGAATCTCTAATGAATCGCACGATTCATAATTGATTCACGATTCAATTCACTTGTTATGATTCATGCAATTTTTAAAATTATTGTATCCGACATATTTTCGACTCTATTTTTCCTCCATCTTTTTAGTAAAAATGACATAATACAACTTCTAATAGCGTTTAATACCAAAATAACCAGCATATATACATGATTTTTTGTTATTTTAGTGATCATGAAGTTTTTAATAGGATCCAATTAGATTCAATCAGACCCAACATATTTTTAACCTTTCTTCTCATTTTTTTTTCTTTTAAAAAATCGTAATATATCTTCTAAAGATGTTTAAGATTAAAATTACACTATGAATTATCTATTGCTATTTTATTAAATTAAATATTACATGAATGAGGTCAGTTATACTTTTTAAAATATTTTAGGCTTTAAAAAAAATATATTCTAAATGATTCTTTCTTTATTTGCTCACTGTTACTTAAAAAAGTATGTATGCTTATTGCCTAAATATCAATATCGTTGTTAATTATTGTTACTTTAGAAATTGATAGTTTGTCTATCTGGTTATTATTTTTATTAAGAATGGTTGATAAGAAATATCTAAAAAAGAAAAAAAAAAGGTAAGATGGTGATCTTACATAGGAACGTTTGTTAACTTTTTACTTATTAAATTACGTGATTATCATTCAAAATAACATTTTTATTGATTTAAGTCTAAATATTTTATATTCATAAGATATATTTAACATCTAAATGTGTAAATATATGTTTTTAAATAATTTAGAAGAAGTGACCGAATATTTACGATTCACGATTCGGTTTGATTCGCGATTCGGTACGAGACCATTTCGATTCACGATACGAATCCCGATTTGACAACTATGTTTATCAATACAATTTATTGCAAAAACTAGAATAAATTTAGCCAACTGTGTGATGTGCATTTTCCGATCACAGAATCTGGCTCTGACCAAGCAAAGAGTAACTTCTTGTTCTTAAGACTGTCATAAAAAAGAATCCATGTATCTATTGCATTATTCACATGGTTTGTGGGCACCAAAATTGCAAGACTGGTGGCTTTGCTAAACAGACTTACAAACTCATGCAACCAAAATGCTACCTACTAAGAAGCAATAATCAAATGAATTATGTCAACCACTGCCGAATGCCAGCGACCAACTACCAAGGTCAGCTATGGCTCAAAGAAACTCACGTTACCATGCCTTCTGATCTTCCTTTGCCTTTTCAAGTAGGACTGCCAGAGAATGAGCAGTAGAGGGAAGACAGTAAAGATAAGATCTGAATTTTAATTCCAAGTACAAAAGGTTGTGCACATACATGGTAACTCCATTACCGAAATTGCATGAAACTATTCAGCCAATCTAGAACTGTCCAGTGAGTGAAACCTGATGTAATTGAAATTAATTTACCGGCGAACATGAACTATTGTTGGTCAAGTATGCCACTGCCACCTGCTTTTGCATCTAAGATAGTACAGCTGATAATAAAAAGGGACTCTCATGTTTAAAGCTGGATGAGCTTTTCAGTAAATGAACACATCCACATTTACAGGTGATTCTAAACACTGTTATGCATGGAGTAGGCATCATCATCAAGTGATTGCCCTGGCGCTAATAATATAGTTTCATTTGGAATTTGGAAAAGGATACTCAAAAAAACAAGTAGCTTAATTACAGTATTGACTTCGGAATCCGCAAATTTTGTGGCAATAGTGTTTTAGATAAATAAAGGCATCAATACAATAATAAATCCGACCATCTTTGGTCACTCTTTTTATTCAAATCTTTCCAAACATCATACTGAAAAGAATATACAAGGACATTGATCAACATTATGAGCACTAAGTTTCCACAGGATTAATGAACCTAGTATCATTTTTAAGTGTACAATAATTACATTTCAAATTATCATCACACAAGGGGAAAACACAAAACGCCACACGTACAACATCACTGACCTTAAACTGAGAATGATATGGCTGATATGGATGATTGCTGTACCCAATCTTTGGCGGAACAACCATTCCTCCATTCACTTTGGCTGCATCACCTAATTCTTTTCTCTCACCGTCTGCCGCCTGTGCTGCATCTTCACCCCACTCTTGCTCTTCTATTGGCTGATGACCCGGTTCACTATCAGCAACAATAACTAAAGGCTCGCCATCTTCGTCCTCATCGTCACTTCCAATCAGTCCAGCCTTTCCCATCGCCATTGGTCCGTGGTTGTTATCATTCAATACAATCTGCAAATCATCCTCACTATCACTGTCCCAATCATCCCCGTCCCCACTCGCTTCATCCCGCACCACAAAATTCGAGCTACCTCGATTATCCACAGCATCCGAAACCCCGGGAATTGATAGACCAGGTATCACTGGCTCTGAACCCAAATCTACAATCCCAGTATTAACTTCTTTTACATTAAATTTCTCAAAATTATCGTTTTTATCCATAGAACCCTCATCTTTTGCAACCAAAAGATCATCTTTATCATCTCTTTCCTCAACAACAACAACAACATCAATCCCGGACTCATCCGTCAAATTTGGAAATTTCACATCGCCACCACTCTCCAAAACCCTAGGCACACTTGGCTTCGGCAAATCCGACCCTAAATTACTCACCCCCTCAGCTAAACCATCTTCTTTCTCCACTTCTTGACTTTGCTGCTTACCATCCAATTCCAAATTCAAATTCAAATTCCGATGAGAATCGGAACTTGAGGCGAGACCCAGTTCGGGGGCAGCCTTATCGGACTTGAAAACTAGGGTTTGGTTCTGATGCGAGCTTGTGAGATTGAAAATAGGGTTAATATTAGGAGCTCCAAAGAGAATATCTTCATCATCGCTCTGAATGTTGAGATCGATCGGGCGGTTCTGACAGAGAGCCGAGGATTGGAAGGGTCGGAGGACGTCAGTGTACAGATCTCCGAACTCGTCATCGTCGTCCTCCATGAGAGAGAGAGAGAGATGGAGAGCTGATTATACGGAATGATGGGTTTTGATGTTTGTCTAGGCACAAAAATAGAATAAAGATCCCTCCTTGCATTTCTCACCTCAACAATGATTCATCCCACTAAAAACATCACCACTAATAGCACTAATATATTAAAAAAAATACAACTCTTAAACCAAAACATCACATCATTAATGGAGGGACCCACTACCACCTAATTAGTGGAAGCACTAATTAGTGCTCCCAAACATTTTTCTTCTTACTTTTGCAGGGCTATTGGGCTCACTTAGGTTTAATTTTAATAATTTAAATTGTTTATTATATTATATTTATAAAAAATTAAATTGATCAAATATTCAAAAATTAGGGATGACCCGTGCCTGAAGGCACTACCAACAATTTTTTTGGTGTCATGTGTTACGAAACTCAATGATAATAAATCAATTCAAAATAGTAATATTAGACTTAAAACTTCACATATAAGAAATTGAAATTGTTTCTGCACATTGAATTAGCGAAAGCATTTATAAATTTCAAATAGCAAATTTCAAAATTAAAGTCCAAAAAATGAATTATGTATTTGAATGTAGCATATGCAAAGAATCTAGAAATATTTGCTAAACTTAAAAGTCTAAATAGCAAATTTTAGATTTTTATCAACGTCAAAATGACATACCTATACACTATAGCAAGTTAGAATGTGATAACCTTCAATAAAAGAATGTTATTGAATTAATATTACAACTGGTAACCCTATCGCTTTATCAAGTTTAAATTCCTTCAAATAAAGGTCAATGAACATTATGATACAAAAGAATCATCCTAGCTAACCCAAACATAAATAAATAAATAATTTAACATGAGAGAGCCAACCAATGACACACTGGTAGAAGCAACGTAACCCAATGTTTCCAATATGGATCAATGACTTGCAACAAAATCACTAGCTTAAATTCGCTTCAAAAAACCAATTGCTATGAAAAATTACATCAAAATGCATATGAGAAATCCGAAGAAATTGCAATGAAGAATAATTGCATCAAAAGAAACTGTAACATGAAAAATCGCATCAAAATACATATGAGAAATAGGAAAATCAATAGCTATGAATTAAGAAGAATTGAACATAACTATTATGGTCAATTGAATTATGTATGCATTACTAAAGTAAACAAATGAGAATAGACAATTGTATGCATTACTAAAGTAAACAAATGAATAGAAAAGCAAATAATAGTATAGAAGGATCAATTGAGAATGTCGATAAATCATACAAACCTCTAAATAGAATTAAACTCAAATTTTGTAAGGGGAGCGAATAATTTTTTTATTAAGACTAAGAGAGTCTTGTTATAAGGAAGAAGAATTTTTGAAGGTTGTAAAACCAAACAAAATTAAAATTTTAAACAATTAAAGCTTACCTTGTGCGAAGTATTCATTTCGGATGATCATGCTCCTTTGAGTTTCCATCCCTGTGATAATGCATAACTCATTTTCTAGTTGAAGCATTATGTATAACAATTAGTAGGCAACAAAAAAAGAATCAAACTTGAAATTAATGTTAATGGGCAAATCTAACTAAAATTAAACCCAAGGTTAATTAAATAAAATTAACTGTATTATTTTTTTAAACAAGGATTACAACCAAATACTTGTGCTAGTTCATTTATCATTTTAATATTTTTGGAATCAAAACCATTCAGAAACACATTTAAATCTAACCCATTTTATAAAAAAAAAATCATTACATGAAGATAGGTTTCTAAAATCTAAACCATTTCAAAAAATTATTACATGAAATTCACAACTTTTCCTTATCTCATACCCAACACCACATTTGCCTCAAACCAATCAATTGACCTGCCTACTAAAAAAAAAAAGGAAAAATAAAAAGGGATTACATGCTTTTCACTTTTCTAGGTGATTGATAATATGTTGTGAGAGGGTAATTTTTGGTAAAAATTGGGCCAAGCTATGTGATAGGCTTCGTGGCCCAAAGTGCCAAGAACTTGGTGAAAAGGCCGCAAGGTTACTCCGGCCCAGGAGAGGTATGGTTACTCCGGCCCAGGAGAGACAGGGTTACTCCGGCCCAGGAGAGATCCCTCCTTGCATTTCTCACCTCAACAATGATTCATCCCACTAAAAACATCACCACTAATAGCACTAATATATTAAAAAAAATACAACTCTTAAACCAAAACATCACATCATTAATGGAGGGACCCACTACCACCTAATTAGTGGAAGCACTAATTAGTGCTCCCAAACATTTTTCTTCTTACTTTTGCAGGGCTATTGGGCTCACTTAGGTTTAATTTTAATAATTTAAATTGTTTATTATATTATATTTATAAAAAATTAAATTGATCAAATATTCAAAAATTAGGGATGACCCGTGCCTGAAGGCACTACCAACAATTTTTTTGGTGTCACGTGCTACGAAACTCAATGATAATAAATCAATTCCAAATGGTAATGTTACTCCGACTTAAAACTTCACATATAAGAAATTGAAATTGTTTCTGCACATTGAATTAGCGAAAGCATTTATAAATTTCAAATAGCAAATTTCAAAATTAAAGTCCAAAAAATGAATTATGTATTTGAATGTAGCATATGCAAAGAATCTAGAAATATTTGCTAAACTAAAAGTCCAAATATATACACTATAGCAAGTTAGAATGTGATAACCTTCAATAAAAGAATGTTATTGAATTAGTATTATAACTGGTAACCCTATCGCTTTATCAGGTTTAAATTCCTTCAAATAAAGGTCAATGAACATTATGATACAAAAGAATCATCCTAGCTAACCCAAAAATAAATAAATAAATAATTTAACATGAGAGAGCCAACCAATGACACACTGGTAGAAGCAACGTAACCCAATGTTTCCAATATGGATCAATGACCTGCAACAAAATCACTAGCTTAAATTCGCTTCAAAAAACCAATAGCTATGAAAAATTACATCAAAATGCATATGAGAAATATGAAGAAATTGCAATGAAGAATAATTGCATCAAAAGAAACTGTAACATGAAAAATCGCATCAAAATACATATGAGAAATAGGAAAATCAATAGCTATAAATTAAAAAGAATTGAACATAACTATTATGGTCAATTGAATTATGTATGCATTATTAAAGTAAACAAATGAGAATAGACAATTGTATGCATTACTAAAGTAAACAAATGAATAGAAAAGCAAATAATAGTATAGAAGGATCAATTGAGAATGCCGATAAATCATACAAACCTCCAAATAGAATTAAACTCAAATTTTGTAAGGGGAGCGGATAATTTTCTTTATTAAGACTAAGAGAGTCTTGTTATAAGGAAGAAGAATTTTTGAAGGCTGTAAAACCATACAAAATTAAAATTTTAAACAATTAAAGCTTACCTTGTGCAAAGTATCCATTTTTGGATGACCATGCTCCTTTGAGTTTCCATCCCTGTGATAATGCATAACTCATTTTCTAGTTGAAGCATTATGTATAACAATTAGTAGGCAACAAAAAAAAAAAAAAAATCAAACTTGAAATTAATGTTAATGGACAAATCTAACTAAAATTAAACCCAAGGTTAATTAAATAAAATTAACTGTATTATTTTTTTAAACAAAGATTACAACCAAATACTTGTGCTAGTTCATTTATCATTTTAATATTTTTGGAATCAAAATCATTCAGAAACACATTTAAATCTAACCCATTTTATAAAAAAAATCATTACATGAAGATAGGTTTCTAAAATCTAAACCATTTCAAAAAATTATTACATGAAATTCACAACTTTTCCTTATCTCATACCCAACACCACATTTGCCTCAAACCAATCAATTGACCTGCCTACTAAAAAAAAAGGAAAAATAAAAAGGGATTACATACTTTTCACTTTCTAGGTAATTGATAATATGTTGTATACTCCAAATCAATCACCAAGAATTTGCCCACAACATTTAAGAGAGCACTTCACCAACATTAAGGGTTGAAAGTGAAACCACCTTCTTCTTCACTTATGAGTTACCATTATGCATAATCATCCAATTAAAAGTATAAAGTATGTTTAAACTACTTCAAGTATAAAGTAAGTTTATGCCATCACTCATTACTCTAGGATGACAAACTAATAACATAGATGGTCTACTAAATTAATTTAGTTCCAAAACCAAATATTTGAAGAAAAAAAGAAACAACCAATTGGCTTAAAACTGGCTTTTATTAATCTAGACCTCTTTATTGTTTTTCTTTTACAAATTCTTTATAGATCTCATTGAACCAATCTCAGCATTGTTTATAGAGTCTTACAAAATAACTGGCAAAGCTGAAAGTATAATTTTTTTGGATAAATTACAAATACACCCCTGAGGTTTGCTTAAAATACGAATTGTTCCATGTGGTTTGGAAAATTGCAACCTGTCAGAATTTTTTATTTAACAAAAATAATTAAAAAAGTGAAATTTCTAACTGTTTACCTATACAATAATCAAATTATCTGAATTATTAATTGAAATAAAATTTTAACATTATTAAAAATTGTTAATTAACTTGATGATTTATTAATAAAAGGACATATTTATTATGAAATTAGAAACCTTAGAGGACATAATGTAGTTTCTAAAACCACAGGGGTAATTTGTAATTTAAGTAAATCTCAAGGGGTGTGTTTGTAATTTACCCTTTTTTTATTTATTTATCACAACTTACAATCCTCACTCTGAAAATAAAATAAAAAATGAGGAGGAGAAGAAGAAGAAGAAAGAAAGAAAAAAAAAGAAAAGAAAGAACGGAAAGAACAAGCGCAACTCTTGTACAAAATAACAGATAATTTTTACCTAATAAAACTAAAATATATTGAGTTAAGAGTCATCACAGGAGTAAAGGGAAGAAGAAAAAAAATTGACTCTAACCCATCCAATCAAAATTTTAATTTATTATAATCATATTTGTTTGTCACATCTATTTTAAAATGAATATACAATTGTGCCTACAGTGTTTAAATTTTAAAATGAAAATTTTAATTGATTATAAGCACTGGTAAAGTTATAGGGTGTGGAATAAGTAGTAGGCAAAGTTATTCTATTAAA